TCATCCCACCATTCCATCCTAAGAGATATTTCTAGGCACGCCGCAGTTATAATCTAACTTAGTTAGGGAGCAAAACGATGTGAATTGTCCGTCGCAACTAGCGTAACCTTTTTTCAAACAATCGTGGTGGAAGCAAAAGTTCAACTCTAATTTGAAAGAGCTTACCATCCACGAGGGAGCTTCACGTCAAGCCCTTCCTTTTCGAGATCTGCATTCGGTGGCACTTCAGTAGCACAGGTGACGATTCTTAAGCAAAGATTTGACACACTATGGTGGGATGGCGAGGAAAAAAGAACGCTTACCCGCAAGTGATCTCGTTGGTCTCGCGGTAGTACGTGCAATAGACGTTCCTAAAAGATCCACACTCAGTACACGCCTGTATTATGGCACATCGTACTTTTATGCGGTCTATGGACAAGGAGTTCTAGACTGAGTGAAATGGAAAAAGAACACTAAGAACAGATTGCGCATTCGAAAAAAGGGCGCAATGTGGCTCGGGGGGGGCACTCTGAGAAAAGTCATCTAGGACTAAGCCTAAACAGCAGGGACGAACTCCGGAGAATACGAAAATTGCTTCCGTACACCGGAGTTCCTCTCCTCTTCAAAAGCTTAGTCCTAAAACGGAGCGTTTCCGTGATTTTGACGCGATGTTGCGAGGTGCCCCCCCCGAGCCACATTGCGCCGAAAAAAGTTTCGTAGAGATACCAAAAAGGACCAAATGAAGATCTGATGTCAATCGGCCGATCTGGATCAACGGCTGTGTTGGAATGGGCGCGATTCGCTCAGGGGATAACCCCTGCAGTGTGCGCGTGGGAAATGACGCCACTTATTACTAGACAACCCCCGCCCACGTGAGTAAATTTCTTGGACATTCTTCCTATCTGGGTAGGGGAACTGGTCTCTGTGATCAGGAGATTTGTATGCGTCAAAAGGTTGAACTGTTGGCTTCTACCATATGGAGTGGTTTCGGTTGAAAGGGAAGTGCGAAACTAGGAATTATTAGTCTGTAGGGATCATTGTTGTTGAAGAGAGCCGTATCTATCCACCTATAGAAGAATTTTAACTTAGGTTTTGGTAATTCCTTGGTAAATGAACAGTTGAACTGATGTCGAGGGTGAGGAAATTACGGTGGGAGACGCAAGTTGATTTTATGTTGTCCATGAGAGCGTCCAAATTTCCTGGGAGTATTGGGGGAAAGAGCGCTGAGTTGTGTGTGAAGAGCAGGACGTTTTTTGAGCGTGGAGTCGAATCTTAATCTATGACTGTA